AAAGGGTGCTTTGTTTGTCTTTTTTTCAAAGGAGTCCTCCAGCTGTGAGAACTGATTACATTGCTAGCCTCTGGTTGAGCCACAGAATAGACTACAGTGCATCTTGGGCTAGGCTCTGCTAATCTCATGATTTCTCTGCACCCCAGAGACACCTGCAGCATCCCCCAGGAAGCTGCCTTGTCTTTGAAACATGATGCCCAAGGGCCAGACGCTTTCTCTGGGTCTTATACATGGAGCTCCCAAGCTGTTGGGGGGAGGAAGAAGCCCCCATGGCCCAGAAATGCAAGGTTGATTTTCCACGGAGCTGTGGTTTCTCCAGAAATCAAACACCCCTTCATGCTTATAGCAGCCCAGCTTCAGTTTTTAGCCGTAAAACCAAAACCAAAATTGGTCTGCCGTTGCCTTGTAGTAGTCACCAGCCATCAATGCTAACAACAGAAGCAACAGTACCTGTAAAGGAAACAAACCCCTTCCGATACACAGGCAGAACAGTGCTTTGAAATGCAATTAAATAACCCCAAGATTATTTCAATACAGGTAGTCCTCAACTTTCAACCATTTGTTTAATGACCATTCGAAGTTACAACAGCACTGAAAAAAATGACTTAGGACCAGTCCTCGTACTTATGACTATTGCAGCATCTCTGTGGTCATGTGATCAAAATTTGGGCATTTGGCAACCAGTATGTATTTATGACAGTTGCAGCATCCCGGGGTCACATGATCACCATCCGCAACTTTCCCAGGGGGCTTCCAACAAGCAAAGTCAATGTGGGAAGCCAGATTTGCTTATTGACTGTGTGATTCGCTTAACGACCATGGCAAAAAAGGTCGTAAAATTGAGCACAATTCACTTAATGACTGCATCGCTTAGTGATGGACATTCTAGTCCCGGTTGTGGTCATAGGTCGAGGGCTACCTGTATAAAGATTATTTCAATATATGATTACTGCGGCGAGATTACTATATGCACAAAGGTGGAAAGATTTGACACTATTACAGAGGTATGGTTGGTGAAACTGAGGGATAAACTAACCTCTTTGATTGGAGAAAATAATAATATCTACATTTATTGGTGTCTGGAAATCCTTTATGGACTTTTTGCATAAAAATGAAAAAAATCAACTTGCGATTTATGATTTTGTTGATTAGACAGGATAGGTTATAGAAAGAAGAGTATTACGATGTAACTGTAGAGAGAGGTTAAAATCTAATTGTACTTATAACTGCTGTGAAGAATATTGGAAGCCACTGCTTTCCTTAACTATATATTAGTTTTTATCTTCCTTTTTAAAAGTTTCAATAAAAAGTATATATATGAAAAAAAATGAAATGCAATTAAATAACCCCAAATCCAGTGCTTCGAAGTGCAACTAAATAATTTGAAATATCATAAAAGGGTCTCATGTTCCAAGAAAGTTAGTTTTGCTCTTATGGTTTAAACCCAGTTGAGCCCAGTTCTGTAGCTGACACCTTTTTTTGTGCAGGGAAGAAAAAATCCAAGTTTCAGACGTTCAAGGACTTCTTTGCCAAGAAAAAGAAGAGCAAAGAGCTCCCGTCTCCCACGGAGGAGACGAAACTCAAACCGAGCCAGTCCAACAGTGATATCAGCCCTCCCAACCTGGACTCCATCTTGCTCCACTGGCCTGCAGGCACAGAGTAAGTTTTCCTCTCCATCTTGTGTCGACAGGCAAGCCAGCTTGTCCTGCAGCACGGAAACTCATGTCATTCAAGTTGGTGCATAAACAAATCTCAGTGCCGGGTTGGAATTCCAGGAATTTCCTCTTTCCCGTTTGCAGTGTGCCTCAAAACAGCTCATGTGGTGAAAAATTCCCCTCGGGAGTCTTTCACGGGCAGAAATGCAGAAGAGATTGAATGGGGCTGCCCCCTTTCTGACAACTCCTCCAGATGGTGCTCATTAGCTGTGTGGGGTTGGCTTGGATGGTCACGTGTGTGTGCGTGTGTATGAGTGCGTGTGCACACTGCATTGTTGCTTTGCTTTTGCTGTTTAAAGACAATACAGGGTGTTGCTTCCATGCATCTCATGGGTGCCAAGAGGAAGAGAGCACTGCCCTTCCACCTCAGATAAGAAAGGAATAAATAAGAAATAAAGCAGCTGGGACATAAAGAGACATGGATCTCAGCAGCCAATGACTTTGCTCATATTCGGCTTAGATATATAGTACTAAGATGTCCATCAGAGGTGGGGACACTGTAGCTCTCTGGAAGTTGTGTTCCTGCCATGCTGGTGAAGGTCCCAAGAGCATGGCTACAAGAACATCTGGAGGGCCACCCCAGTGTGGTTGATTTATTTAAGGTTTATTTTGAACTCTATGTTTCCCATGGACTTTGTTTCCTAGTTGGTATCCCGGAAGGTTTGCAACGGATAAAGACCATACTGAAACCATATGTTCTTCAAGGATTTAGGCAGAGATCCCATTCCAGCTTCTCAGGCCCGTGGATGTCAGCTGGAGATGTTCTTACCTTCTGAGCGGGCAGGTGGCTTTCTGCCTGCAAGCTCTAGGCGGCCTCTTCTTGAAATGGAGCTGCGTGCCTTGTGACTTAATGGACAGGATCATGTGCTGTCCATTGTGGATGAATGTAGATGAGTGAGTTGCACACTTGGGTGAGCACACCTCTCCTCCCAACAAATCGACAGTGTGGCCTCTTACATTAAGGCAGATAAAGGTAATGTTACATAAAGTCTTCTTTAGGTTGAGCTCATCTCCTGATGATCAGCTGAACCATGTCCATGTAGTTGTCTTGGCAGCAAGACAGTAGTGATTTTCTGTTGCCTTTTCCCTGGATGTTGTTTCAACTTCCCAGTCTAGCCCATATATAGCTGTGGGCCTCTTGGTGGTCTCCTGTCCTAATATAAACCAGCTCTGAGGCTGCTTAGCTCTATAGGATCAGCCAAGGTTGATTAAGTGCAGTCATTTAGTTGGGCCCCTGTATAAAACCACTATAAATGTGTTAAATTAAACTATATTGAATGCTGTTTGCAGAAATACATTATCTGTGCCTTCTTGCATAACAAAAATAAATATACATCAATATTTCAAAAGCAAAATTAAACTTTTCAAAATTGAACCGTCACAACCTAGTATATGGGCTGTATATCCTAACATCTAGGAAACCTTGCATCTCATCTCAGCTTGGCTGCAAACTTTTTGCAAGATATTTTTTCTTCCTACTTAGTTTTCTATACACAAAATGCTGGTTAGATTCTCCTACCTTATCGGATTGTTGTTTTTGCCAAAAGGTTTTGTTTTTCCCCTTTAAAGGCAGCATTTCAGTGGCAATCTTTGAAAAATCTAAGATTTACTTCACCTTTCAGGTCCAACGGAAGCATGGGGAACCAAGCCTTATCACATGACAGCCTCTTCCTTCCCGAAGCATTGTGTGATGTGGCTGGGGAAGCACCCTCGCAGGAGAATTTCCCTGGGAAAGTGAAAAATTTCCAGGTGAGAGGGACTTCTTGTGGATTTTAATTTGACTTGTGCATGAAGCAATTTGGGCATAAACATCACCATCAAAATCTCCCATCAAAAAGAGTGACTGACTTTACTTGCAAGCTGTCAGCTCCACTAGGTTGACCAGACCAGGAAATCAACTTCACAGGAAGGCTAAAACTCTTTTTTATTGAGATGGGCTATAAATACAGAATCTTGCAAGTCTGATTGTGCTGGACCTCCTCTTCCTTCTTATACACCAGTGAATCAGGGGGGCATCTGTTGGAGTCGCTTCTGAGCATTGCTCTGGCCTTAAAAAATGTTTCAGCCCCCTTTGCCTAGTTAACAATTCTTGCATATTCTATCAAGGTCATCTTCTTTACTCTGTAAACAAGCTTTTTGGAAGGATTTTTATCTGGACTGTGTTAGGAAAGAAATAATTCAAACGAATAAATGACACGCAATGTTTCCATCCCATAGCAGAACAAAATATGTTTTTGGTAGGAAGGGGGTTTAATTCTTCTTGTTCTCCCTTTCTGGTCCAGTGACAAGGAAGCTACATCTCTTACAGAGGTAAACCCTGATACAGATCAACATCATGGTTAATGATACTGGAGCATTAGCATCAGAAACTATGATCAAAATCCTTCAGCAATCTATTCCCCTCCATCTGCTTCCTCTAGCAAACAGAAGTTGTATTGTCTGGTGTCCACAAATGTCAGTTGTCGTTTTGTTTTCTCCACAGCGCCTTTCAGTTAGGAGCATTGTGTGAAAACCAAATGGTGGCGGGTGGATAGTGCCATTTCAGGCTCCAGTCAGGAGGTGGTGCTGCACCCTGAGAGAGTGAAGAATTGTGTTTGTTTAACAGAGCCAGTGAAGTTCTTCCCTCCTTTCCCCACCAATGTTTCCTCGTAGGTTTATGGCGCACAAGGAAAGCCATCTGAGAGGCAACAAATGATGTATCTCTTGATCTCAGCCTGTTCAGTAGCTAGCCTAGTGGGCAATTGTGTTCTGTCTGCAGGCTAACCAAGCTTCTGGGATGTGACAGGAACAGCACAATGTTACTAAATAGGATAGGTTTGTTCTTTCTGATTTCTGCTTGCCAAGCTGCAGTCCATGCAACAAGGCTAGGAACCGAACCATACATTTTTGACAGAGGTTGCCCATGAGATACGCAGCATCCCAAATGGCCAAATAGACCAATGGAGTGATTCCCTTTCACCCAAGCATATTATTTATTAGCAGAATGGGGGCCCTGTGGAATATTTTCTGGGCTTTCCTGTTAGGAAAGCTTGTAGAAGTTTGTGATTTTACTGTTTCTTGGTTTTTGTTCTTATTGTGAGCCATTCAAAATTGTGCTTCGTAAGGTAAGAGGCCATACAAGTCTTCAAAACAAACAAATGCATACATAGAGGGTCAAAATCCAGTTTAAGATGTTAGCTTCTGGATTTTCCAAAGCCGGGGTTTGGGAATACGGGACAGAAGTCCCTTAAAATATTTTGAAGTTGACTGGTAAAGACAGCTTGCATAGGGACTGCAAATTTCAGATTGCTGTGTTATGATCAGGAGCTGTGAAAAGGCAGTTTGGGGCTTAATCTATTTATATTCCTTTATAGGTAAAGTATTCCTTTGTTCTCCCCAGGGATTGCAACTGGGTATGGAAATTAAGAAAGTCTATGACAGTGTTGTCCAAACTTGGCCACTTTAAGATGAGTGCACTTCAACTCCCAGAATTCCCCAGCCAGCCATTCTCAACTCTCA